GTCGCGAGTTAAGAAGGGTGATCGAGAAGTCGACTTGAAGATCAAGTTATCTAATTTATTTATGCACGTTTTTAATTTAGTATTTATTATGTTTTTATTATTTTAGAGTCTTTTATGGTTAGGATTTGCTTATTTAAGTGTTTCCTTATTATAGTTTAGGTAGGAGTCCTTTTCCTTGTGAAAAAGGAGTCTTTTTAGCACTTATAAATAGGTTGCCAAATTGGCTTATTTGATAGGACGAATTTTAATGAATATTTGAGTATTTTGAGAAATCAATTCTCCTTCGCTGTTCTACAGCAACCTTCGGGATTCTACAAGTGGATTCTTGTAACTTTCTTAGCGCCGTAGTATTGGTTTCTGGTTCTCTATAACCACGGGGTCAATATTATATTTCACCATGATAATAATGGTTTCTAGCTCTTTATAGCTATGGGGTCATTGTTCCTTGCTTCCGCCAAACTTGAATCTTTGTTTTTGGGTGTCTTCGATCTTGCTTCCGCGTAGTGTATTGGGTCTCGTAACAAGTTCTACGGGGTTCGTATCAGACTTTTTGCCTCATTTTCTTTTAATGTTATGCTTTTCTTTTGTTTTGTGATTGTTGAGAATTTTTCTGATTGAGTTCGATTCTTTTTTTGCTTTTAGATTATTGAGACATTTTCTGATTAGCTTTCGAGTAGACTGTTAACTATTCTTGAGACGTTCTTTGAAAATCAATGTTGATATCTGTTAATTGTTGCTTCTGTTTAAATATGACTAGACAGATTGTTTAATTACATTTTTTTTTGAATTTTTTTTTCTGCAGTTGAACCGTTCGTTTCCGGCGTTGACTTTTTTTTTTTGACTTTTTTTTAAAAAAATATCTTTATTAAGGTTGCTAAATTACTGTCTCCAATAGTAATTTACCTATCGGATACAGTAATTTAACTATTAATTGACTTGGTTTTTTTGTTTTGAAATTTAAAAAAAAAAAATTTTGATCAATATTACTGTCTTTGCTGCTAAATTACTGTCTGAAACAGTAACATTAGTGTTTGAGACATTAATTTTACTATATTAATTAATTTTATCGTCTTGGCCAGTAATTTTGCTGTCTTCGACCATAATATTACTGTTTCCGACCGTAATATTATTGTATAATGCAATAATATTATTGTTTGGGACAGTATATTATATTATTGTTTTGGGACAGTAATATTACTGTTTTGGTATTCAATATTACTATGTAAAACAATAATGTTTTTGTTAACACAATAATTTAGAGAGAAAAAAAATTGAACAAAAAATGTGAACGCCGGAAACAGTAATATTACTATCATAGAAAGTTAAATTAATGTCACTAACAATTAAATTGGTGTTGGAGACAATAATTTAGCAGCCAAGACAATAATATTAAATAAATAATTTTGTTTAAGAAAATAAATCTTCAAGAAAAAAAAAGTTACCGCCGGAGACCGGCGGTGAACGGCGGTGGACCGGCCGAAAATATTTAAAAAAAAAAAATTCAACAAAAAAAAAAGTCAACGTCAGAATCAAGGCAAAAAATAAAAATCAGAAAAAAAATTATTTTCTAATAAAGAAAATTATTTTTCAAAAAATTATTAAAATGGGGGTAAATGTGATATATTTGTTTAAATCTGGGGTAAATGTGTAATATGAAAGAAGTTAGACTATAATGGATGTAATTGATAAAACTTATATTATGGGGGTATTTTAGACAAAAGACATGAGGATGAGTTATTTGGAAGACTATTTTTTATCTGGACCAATGTCAATTTAAACTCCCTTTCATGTCCCTTTGCCATTTGCCCTATATTTAAATCTTAAACTAATTCTGATGTAATTCCATTTATAAGAACAAGAAAACATATTTATTGGGAGTCATTGAGGAATTATGGCTTATATTTATTCCAACTATATCTAATAATTCTCTGACAAGGAAGATCTCACAAAACAATCGCACCCCTCTTCCAATTTAGGGCAAATTACTGCTACTCCTTGAGTTATGGTTAAATTACGAAAACCCCCCTTATGTTTCGGTAATTAGAGTCACTCTCCTCAAATATGTATTATCTTACGAAAAGACTCCTCCAGATGTAAATTTATGAATATTAATTCGGTAAATCGAACTTAATATACGATTTAGTTCGGTAAATAACCGAATTACATATACTTTAAGTAAACATATTTAAAAGAAAGGGGTTGTTGTAATTACCCAAACAATAGGGATTTTTTTTCGTAATTGAACATAACTGAATGGTGGTTGTAATTTGCCCTACCATTTAAAGATATGTCGACGAATTTCAGAAAACCCTTGTACGCTTATGTCGTATGGCCATGCAAAATAGTTACTATTGTGCATAGTTGTGATTAAAGTATATAAGAATGGATGGCAAGTTGGGTTTTACAGCAACTCTTTTTAGCTTTTCTTTTTGCCACTTTAATATTAAAACGGCGTCGTGTTATGCATTTTTCCTCCATTTTGATATATTGATGGGCGGTACTCTGTATGGGGGCCCACGGTCGGTTCGTGGTGTCATAGGACGTGTACACCGCCCCGCCCCGCCCCGGCCCCGAACCGTTGACCACGGACCCGAACTCGGACCCGGCCCGAAAACCGTCGGGTCTACCCGGATTTTGGGTTTTTTTTGTCCAATTTCTCGCCCGTTGACCGCCCCGCCCCAGCCCCGCACCGTTGACCACGGACCGGGACCCGGATCCGGCCCGAAAACTCGTCGGGTCTACCCAGATTTTGGGTTTTTTTTTTTCCAAAAATTGGACAATCGGAGATTCGAACTCGGGTAAATGGGTAGAATTTGTCAACTCTAAACACTGGGCAACGAACATATTTGAATAAATGTAGACAATAAATATATATAATATAAAAATCTAGTGTAAAATGATAAATATGTTAAATAAATTATTAATTTTCATATTAATTATTATTAAATAATATTAATTAAATTATTAACAAATGCAATATAAGAAAATTTTAAAAATATATATAGAATCACGGTTCAATACTTCAAAACATCTATTATTAATTACTAAATCAATCTAATCTCCACTATTGAATAATATAAAGTATTGAATCAATTCAATATATACACAAACGCGTTGACTTAATACAAACTCACTTATGTTATTAAAATCGATAGTGTGAAAAATTCAAATGAAAAATAAAATAATATGTTTATTTAAAAAAATAGGTTATAACTCATTTCAATTAATTTAAATTGATTAACCTCAATTGTTGACAATAGCTTATTAAAATTATTAAAATTATTGATTATTTTATCATAAGATAATTACTTAAAAATATAGATGATGTTTATTTTAACAAAAATAGATTATATCTCATTCTAATTAATTTTTTATTTTAAAAATAAAACTATATATGACGAGTATAATCAAGATATTATGATGTGATTTCTCTTTATAGTTGGTTTAATTTGTAAAAACGTAAGAATTAAATCGTAGGTCATACGATTTAATCATTTTTTTTAACATTTACATTTTATTCAAATATTAGAATCGAATCGTAAGATTTAAATGAATTAAGCTCAAGTTTTTTCTACTTTTTTTATTTTTTTTATTATATTCTATTTGTTAATAATTTAATTAAAATTATTTAATAATAATGAATACCCATAATAATAATGAATACCCATAAAATTATTACTTTCACTTATAAATACCCATAATTCAATCTTCACAACTTTCATTTTATTTAGTTTATGTCTCAAAGTCTTAATCGTTTCATTTTTTTCCTAAAGTTGTTTAGTGTTTAAATTCAATTTTTTTTTTCATTTTGAATTTAAAGTTAATCACATGTTTTCTCAAGTTTCAATATAAGTTTTTTTTTTCTTTCTTGTAATAATAATAATAATAATAATAATAATAATAATAATAATAATAATAATAATAATAATAATAATAATAATAATAATAATAATAATAATAATAATAATAATAATAATAATAATAATAATAATAATAATAATAATAATAATAATAATAATAATAATAATAATAATAATAATAATAATAATAATAATAATAATAATAATAATAATAATAATAATAATAATAATAATAACAATAATAATAATAATAATAATAATAATAATAATAATAATAATAATAATAATAATAATAATAATAATAATAATAATAATAAATAAGAAAAAAAATTGAAAACCGGGTGGACCCGCCCCGCCCCGTGGCCATAATTGAAAATATATAATTTTCAATTATACGGACTCAATAAGTTTATTTATTTTTAAAATAAATCTTTTTGTAAGGTTATAAAGTGTAATGGATTGGGATATCTTCCTCAAGACCTTGTAGATTTTATAGTATCAAATATATTTACTGAAGAAAGACATAATTTTAGCCTAGTATTCTGATCCTGGAAGGAGGTTGTGGCAACTTCACCATTTCGTCATTCCCTACGCCTAATGTTCTACCATAGGAGTGAACATCTTTGGAGATTTTCAGCACGACAAATGTTTTGACATGGAATACCCCGAACTCGAAAACACAATAATATTCTCCTCCAATTATGGATTGTTGCTCATGATATCTCGAGATCACAAAAATCTTTTCTTTTACAATCCTTTCAACATTCACATGATTAAACTACCGTCAGGAAGGTACACACATACACATGTACAATAAGTTTCTCCTACCTGCCAACTTCCCCAGATTGTTTTCTTGTTGGAATTTCAAATGAAAGAGCTTATAGGGTGACTATAGGTGTTCTTAAACATGGAGAAGGTAAGTTGGGATGTTTGTGTTTATTACAATAGATGGCATGCATTTAAGGTATGTCCCTTATGTCACAGCCCGCCAGTTTTGACTCAACCCTTTGCTAGTTTTCCTTGGATTTGAGAGGTTAAGAGAGTCCAATTAGACTTAGCTCAAATAGGGTTAGGCCCAAGATGGCTCAAATGTAAATAGGCTTCCACTACTAGAAAATCGCCATTTAGCTACGGACGAATTATAAATTATATTTACCATGGCAAACCACATTGACCGAGCGATCATACTCCTGTTTAAGGAAAAATAAATTATCTGAGAAAAAAGAAAGCTCCTTCACACATAAGTGAATTTAGCTAGCTTATATTACCAAATACAATACGATAATTAGATGGAGTCATTGATAAATTGAAACATGAAAGAAAAAGGAAAATTCAGAACTTATGGAACCAAAACTCATGGTTACTATATGATTTAATATTTAGAAGAAAAAACATGGCATACTTCACCCCCACGGCCTATCAGGAAGCAATGCCAGAAAAAAATGGGTTTCGATCTGCCAACTCCATCTTATATGGAATCAGTGAGACAACGATGTCCAGTCGCCTGCATAAACGTAATGGAGTGCAATATTTAAGAACAATAATTCAAATAACGCCGGCACAAGCATGATTAGGAAACCCTAAATAAATTTAAATAAGTTAAATCGTAAAAATCCTCGGTCCAATTTCGAGAAGAGAAAAATAATCATTTTTTTAAGAGTTGCAATTTGATGTATTAGGGGTTCAAGATCGGAAATAAGATACAAGGGAGCAAAAAAGCAAACACTAGAGATTTCACGGGATAAGCAAAATTCTGCCGGAGAAAGAAAGTGAAATATTGAGAAAAATACGAGGCTTACAGCTCTGATATTTGGGATCCAACTAATCTCATCAAATCCATTGCTGGAGACCACCCCCAAATGGCCATTCCTCGCACTACAATCTGCATACAAAAAAAAAGCAATTACATACATATATTAATCGGATTCGAACAATTAAGAAGTAAAAAACTAACAATGATTGATATGCTGTATAATTCCATAGCTGAATCCTTCTGAGGAATTGGCATTACCAGAGAATTTTAGAATTTCATAAAGGGGGTGGGAAATGGGTTAAGTTTCGGTAGTCTTTGGAGGAAAAGGGGGAAAGTAATTTGGAAATTTTTGGAGGTGCAGCGGTGGAGGGAATGATAAAAAAGAGAAGGGATATAGGTCTTGACTCTTGAGATATTTTTTGTGGTCCGTGTTTTTACTTAGTCTTGAAATTTTATTTACTATTTTACAATGTTTTGAAAACCGGACCGGACCGGCCGGTCCGACCGGTTCAACCGCGAACCGGCAGGTAGTCCGGTCCGGTTGAACATCAATACCCGGAAAGTCATAAAACCCGGGTCAGTGGTCCGAGAACCGCGGAAATCCTGATTGAACCGAAGAAAACCGGTGAAAACCGGTTCTAAAAACCGGTCTGACCAAACACCAGAAAGAAAAAAACTGAGAAGAAATTGAAAATCTTTATACCTCTCTTTGATGTTTGTATTGTTGAAGGAGCTCTAGTAGATGATTCATACGGGTTATTAGATATTGTGATGGGGGAGCATTTGAGAAAGAAAGAAAGAAAAAAAAGAAAAGAAAAAAATAATTGTACAGAGAGAAGAACGTGGTTGGCGGCGGTAATTGGTAGTGAGATAGTATTCACAAACCAATATTAGGTCTTAAGGGTATATTGTAATTTTTTATTTTATTTGTTATTTATTTACTTAACTTTTTTTTTTTTTGAATACTACTTAACTTTTATTAATATATAAAATAATTATTATTTATAAAGGCATATATGGTACTGGAAACAGAATTATCAATTAACTATTTGAATGTATGTAAAAAATATTTTATTTTTTCTATATTTTTGCATAATAGTTATTATAAAAATTATATAGAAATAATTAAAAATAAAAAATACAAAAACCCGGTCGGACCTCGATTGGACCGGTCCAACCATGACCCAATTACTTGTCCGGTTCAATGTCCGGTCCGGTTTTGAAAACATTGCTATTTTACACTAAATTTACTTTAATAAATTAGAGTATCTTCACTACTATTATGTTTTTTATATATATATAAAATCAAGTAAAGTATTTTTTATTACAATGTAATTAAAAAAATTAACAGTTTCAACAGAAAAAAAATTAGTGCAGAAAAAAATAATATAAGTAATAGAATTTGTAGAGTATGAGTTGAAAACAATATTTCAAATTTTTGTATCATTCATTGAACAAAAAAATCGTTCAAATCATCTTATTTTAGAAATGGATTATTTTCTGTTGCAATTTGCGTAGCTAATGTAATAATTTAGAATCGGACTTGATATCCGTCGCTACTTGTGTTGCAATAATTACAGTTTCACAACCAAGGAGACGAATTTGTGTTCCGTCGCCAATTCCATCACTAATTACTTATTTTAGCAACGAATTCATCGTTCGTTGCAAACTACCGTTGCTAAATGGTGATTTTCTAGTAGTGTTCGTAGAGATTCTTACAGTATCTAGAATACTTTTTAGAACACTCCCTTTGTAGATATTTTGTTGGAATTTTTCGGAGTGTTCTAGTGAACAACTCCTATCCCTTAGATCAAATAGATCTCTACCATCTATTGAGGAGGTGACCTAGTATAAATAGGAATAGGGACTTCATTTGAAACCATCCAAGAAATCCAAGAAATTCTAAGCTATACAAGTATTTTCCTACAAAGCTCACTTATTTTCTTAAATTTTTTGTTTGTTTTCCATCACTTAGAATTCGCAATACATTTGGAGGAGGATGACTTAGCTATCGCAAAAGGTGAAAATGAGTTAAGGCCGTTGTTAAGTGAACAAGTCTGTGACTATCACGATGGAGCTATAAAAACGAGAGCAAATAATATTTTCTATGTGAATTTTTCTCTCGATAAAAAGACTCCAGAAGAGCAACAAAGAAAAGAGAAAAAAATTTCTCTACCAAAAAAACGCCACGGAGAAATACGTTGGTGCTCCTCTATATATACTTCCTTTTGTTGAATAAAAGAGCCCTACAAAAGATTAAAGCACATTAGGTTAATATTCAATCTTTACGTAAGGGAAAAAGAATTGTGTAACAAGGAAAGTCTTTGTCAAGGAAATTCCTTATCAACACATCACTTATGCAATTGAATAAATTAATGACAAAATAAGAGTTTAAAGCATTAAGGAAACTTCCCTAGCTTTAGACATACGTTTTCCACACACGTGCTGAAAAACCAAAATTAGAATCCTCTCGGATTCTAACAATCTCCCCCTTTGTCATCTATTTATTATAATCAAGTCCTCCCCTTTTGTCAAATACCGGAAAATAAAACAATTAGATGATAGACGGAAGCAATAAAACTAAGGATCATCCTCAGCATTAAAGGAACAGCCAACAACAAGAGTGGCATCAACTGCTGCAATAGCAAGTGCCACAGTTTCAACAACTCTGTTCCAACAGTAATGGCTTCGGTAGGTGGTTCACAACGGAGTCAGCTTCCCATGCAAGTGTTTCTCCCCCTGTAGATGATCCTTGGGCAACTTCTCTTGGCTTGGTAGACTTGGAGGGCGGTGGAGGGCGACGTGGTAAATCATCCACGTAATAAAAGACTCAACAAGTAACGTCAGCATTAACGCCATCCTTTTATATTCTTGTGAACACCTAAACCAATTAATGACAATAAACACAATATTAAAAAGGTGAAATTCTTTATATATTGGATATACACTTTCAGGTGATTAATATGGAGAGATAATTTATTTCTTCTCAAATTATCTAATGAGATAACTAAGTAAAATATGTTCCTCATATTAATACACATCTCCATAGAATTCCACTTGGTGTTGTGGACTTAGAATCCCACAGAGATTCTAACACTCTCCCCCTTTGGCATTGATTGGTAAGAACATTTACTCCCCCTAAATATATGATACATGCATGAACAAGGGTCAACAAATTCAAAATAACATCTGCAAATATAAATAGTTGCAACAGTTTATCAAAGAGTTCAGCAGATAGTGTACCGTTGTTCAATTAAGCCAAGAACAACAAAAAATATGCAGTAGCAGAGCAACAGTTTATCAAACAGTTCAGCAGATAGTGTACCGTTGTTCAATTAAGCAAAGAACAACAAAAATATGCAGTAGCAGAATCAACTTCCCTTTACAAATGAATTCCTTCTTATTTGTCCTGTATTTTTGCACTATTCCAACAACTGTATGATGCATTATCTCAACATTTGTCTGAACTCCCCCTGCATTCCTGCACTATTCCAGCAACTGTCTGATGCACTGTCGCAACAGTTGTCGGAACTCTCCCTGTGTTCATGCCATCGTTACTGTTCTTTTCTCCCCCTTTCTGGGCAATCACCATGCATAGATAACTCAACATGGACTAATGATCTTGATGATTCGAGCAAGCTGTTCAAACACTTAACGAAAAGATCAAACAAAGAGAGAATCTTGAAAGTAAGTGAGAAGAATTACCAAACATAACGTGCACACAAAGTCACAAACTTACAACTCAATATCACACGATAATTGCAATGCGAAAATCAAAGGATGAGGATATCAAATTCAACATTAAATAACAAAGACTACAGACTTTTCCAAACTTCATACGAAACGTGGAAATGTGAGTAGTAGGCCCAATAGATCCGGTTGCAACAAAAATCAAATTTAACCGGCACATAAACAAAAATTCCGTCTCTCTCTCTCTCTCTCTCTTTTTTTTTTATTTTTTTTATTTTTTAAATAATGCCTAATGCAAGACAAGAAGTAAACATGAGAAATAAACATGAGTGAAGAGACAGATGTGAATAGGATACTGCATGGACAAACAAAAAATATGGGATTTATCTTCACATTCACGATATACGCAATCCCCAAAAATACGACTGCCAATGCAACCAATAAACTTAATAATCCCAAGTCAAACACAAAGATGCTCTTATTAGGTAGCGTACACACACACGTCTAATGGTAGCTTTTTCCCATGAAAAATAGAGCAATTAAAAGGAATGATATTATGGTTGTCGTGCAATGTGTAGTCCCCTGGGCTTTCTAATTGAGCCTTGTAGTGAGTGTTCGGTCAAGTGGTTTACTGGCTTAACTCAACTAGGCTTCGAAGTATTCACTGACCATATGTATAATTTATATTGGCCGTGCAATGTGTAGTCCCCTGGGCTTTCTAATTGAGCCGTGTAGCGAGCTTTCGGCCACGTGATTTACTCACTCGACTCAAAAAGGCTTCGAACTATTCACTAACCAAATGGTTGTAGATATATATATATATATATTAGTAACAGTAGTTCAAGAGTAGCTTTCACTCATTAAAAGATGCAGTTTTTCCCTATAAAAACATCCAACCATGACAAGACTATTCAGAGAAATAAATAAGTTGGAGCCTTTTAAGTAATCATTTTGGGAATTGGTGAAGTTCTACCCCCACAAAATTTAGAAGTACACGAAGTATCAAACTTACATTTGTCTCAATCATATGCAGTATGCTTAATGCAGGTCCTATATGAGATGTAAAAACCTATGAAGTGTCCTACCACTAAAAGTTGCAAGTCTGGACACACAGACTATTGCAACAGTTCATGCAACTGCATCAGATTAAACAACATAAATTCCCAGCGATTTTCGCAAGGAATCAAATCTCTATGCATCAAGGGTTTTTGCAAAAGTATCAGTTAATTCATTTTCCGTTGCAGCATAATCAATTGAGACAACCCCCTTTTTAACCAAGTCCCTTATGAAACGATGAAAAATATCAATAAGCTTAGTTTTCGAATGTTGAATTGGATTCATAAACTTATTTTTCGCACACAATTTATCACAATTCAGATTACCAAAGTTTTTATTCCCCAAACTAGCTTTGTCACCAGAATTGTTGGAACAGTTAGTACTTTCATCACATGATTTTAAAGAAGTAATGGCAGATAAACAATTAAGATCAAACTTCTTTACCCAGATTTTTTGTTGAGTTTTATTCACTAAATCAACCTTTATCTTGGGTTTTTGCGACGACACAAAAGTGTGATCAATTTTAGCAGAAAGTGGTGAGCATGCCATTATTCTTTTAACCATTTTCAAGTACTTAAAACACCTAGGTCGTATATGACCAGGAACATGACAAAAATGACAGGTAGGGACAAAAACTTTTCTTTGAGATGATTGTGTTGATGCAAGTATCGCAACAGTTTGTGAAACAGTGGATTGTTTAACAGAATTGATTTTTATTTTTGGATCCTCTTTCTGTTTCAATGCATCATTAGATAGCTGATTACCCCCTATACCTATATGACCAGAGTTCGGCTGATTTTTTGGTCAAAATTGCATTCAAAGTTACCCTACCAGTATTAAACTTAGAAATAGCATCTTGGTTTTGAGCAAATCTAACCTTCAACATATTTGTTTCTCTACTAGTAGCATTTTGTTCAAGAGTAGAAATTCTTACCTTCAACACTTCATTTTCCTCTATGAGAACACGCTTATCCTTTTCAAGGCGCTTATTTACCTCCGATACTTCAAGCCACTTCCGATACATTTTTTCATATACATCTTTGACCTCTTCGAGGGTTGGCTCTTCATCATCACTACTGCTCTCAGAGTCACCTGCAAAATTAAATGGTGAAGTCAGACTATTGTCCTTATTTGAAGATAATTCATCATACCTGAGTTCTGTTGGACAGACTGTTGCAACAGTTTCAGCAACAGTCTATTTGCACTTGCTTATCTGAGTAGTACCACTGAATGCCATAAAGTTTGTGGTTTGATCTTCTTTGTTGTTCTCATCCTCATCGCTGTCCTCTTTATCACTCCAAACAGTGGTGAGTGACATCCTCTTTTTCTTCAAAGTGTTTGCACACTCGGCCTGAATATGTCCAAAACCCCCACACTCTCGACATTGCATTATCCTAGACTTTGCATCATCAGAATAACCATTATTAGAAAACTTTTTAAATTTTTTAGGGTTAACATACTTACGTGATTGAGAGGAACTTCCTCTATTTTCAAGCTTTTGACGCAAGCTTTCGAGGTTATTTGACATAATTGCTAAGGATTCTTCAACATCAATGTCATACTCATGAAATGTTTGGTCTTGTGAGATGCCATGGGAAGCTTCAGCCTGGAATGCCACATACTTCACCTTTTTCTTTTCTCGAATATTTGCTCTAAAATTTATTTCTTGGGTTTGCAGTTTACCCATGAGTTCATCTAGCTTCAGCGTATTGATATCCCTCACTTCTTCGATTGCTGCAATTCTGTAAGCAAATCTTTCTGGTAATGAACGTAGTGCCTTTCTTACCAACTTTGTTTCCGAGTATTGTTCACCTAGTGCATACGATTCATTTGAAATGTCACACAGTTTAGCGTGAAAATCAGCAATCGTCTCGTCCTCCTCCATATGAAGACTCTCAAATCTTGTGGCTAGCATCTGCAACTTAGATGTTTTAACAGTTGATGTGCCTTCATACGTCACTTGTAGGATCTCCCATGCCCTTTTTGCTGATTCACACGATGCTATCAGTTTGAACTGATTGTCACCAACGCCACTGAAAATTGAGTTGATCGCCCTCGAGTTGTAATTGGCAAGTAATATCTCTTCATTAGTCCATGCTTCTTCTGGTTTTACCGTTTGCATACCATCCGTTCCTTCAGCCATGGGAGGGGTCCAACCAGTCACAATAGCACGCCAAGCTCGTTCATCAACTGACTTGATGAACATCTTCATCTTCGATTTCCAGTAAGAGTAATTTGATCCATCCAAGAGAGGTGGTCGTATTGTAGACGCTCATTCACGATGAAACATATCTGCATAAAACAAATTAAAAAATTAAATCCCAAAACCTCACTAAGTGTATCTAGTGACAGACTCTTGATGCCAATTGTTAGAATTTATTTCGTGCAGATATAAATTATTTGTGTCAGTTTTTCGTTACTGTTGCGTGAAGTGTTGCAATAGTTCGTGAAGCAGTCGTAAAAACAGAAATAAACGAGACACAAATTTTAATGTGGTTCGGATACAATTGTACCCTACATCCACGGGGAGCTGCAAATAAAATTTACTAATTTTTAGTTTTACGAATACAATAGTAGGACTTAATCAAAATACAAAGACTCCCTCTTTGTTGACGTCGTTCTTGTATACTACGCTGAATTATAAATCTTCAATTTGCAGCACGTCCCTTGCTCCGCAAGGTTGAACTCCCTTCAACGCTGAATCCCTCAGTCGGCGGATCGATCTCCTCCCGAGATCTGTTTAAGCCCCTCTCCCGAAGAACCGATCTTCTTTTTATATAGAAGAAGCAAACTTGTGATACTTCTTGAATCTTGGTGTCTTCACCACAAAGCCTTGAAGCTGGTATATTCTCTATGAAAATCACGTATCACGATGGAGCAATAAAAACGAGAGCAAATAATATTTTCTATGTGAATTTTTCTCTCGATAAAAAGACTCCAGAAGAGCAACAAAGAAAAGAGAAAAACTTTTCTCTACAAAAAAAAAACGCCACGGAGAAATACGCTGGTGCTCCTGTATATATACTTCCTTTTGTTGAATAAAAGAGTCCTACAAAAGATTAAAGTCCATTAGGTTAATATTCAATCTTTACGTAAGGGAAAAAGAATTGTGTAACAAGGAAAGTCTTTGTCAAGGAAATTCCTTGTTAACACATCACTTATGCAATTAAATAAATTAATGACAAAATAAGAGTTTAAAGCATGAAGGAAACTTCCCTAGCTTTAAACACACGTTTTCCACACACATGCTGAAAAACCAAAATTAGAATCCTCTCGGATTCTAACATAATAAATAATTATAAATAAAATTTACTCTAATGATTATTTTATTTTATATAAAAGTGAACATAGTATACTAACTAACTACTATTATTTAAATTTAATTATATGCTCTTTAGGAATCTAAAAAATATGTTGAATTTCTTTGCCTTTTATTAATGATGATATAATTGATATTAGGAGTTTTTATGTTATATTTATATTTAATAAAGGGCTAAATACACTTTGCACCCCTGAAGTATAGCTCATGTAACACTTACCCCCTTAAAGTATCATTTGTAACACTTACCCCCCTCAACATCAATTATTTTATACTTTAAAATTTAAAAAATAATAAACATAACAATCTAATAATTAACGGTTCATAGAAAATTGAAAAGTAACTAAAATTAATTATTGAAAAAAATTAAAAAGTAATATATATTGGGTAATAATGAATGAAAATATATTTAAATAATTAATAAACTAAAATAAATTTAAATACTTAAGATATTTATTAGTTATGTATTGATTTCTTAAAATTTATCGATAGAGTATTTTGATTAATTGGTCCAACAACAATTAGATGTTATTTATTGAAAAAGTACCAACGCAAGATAATAGTTTCAAATTTTAAAATATTGTATTTTTTAACAGATATTTTTAGTTGTATAATTTAATTAATTATTCTTTTAGTTATTCCTTTCAATAAAATATTTTATTAAGGTATTAAAATTTAAAAATACAAATTAAATTGTGTTTGAGGGGGTAAGTGTTACAAATGATACTTTAAGGGGGTAAGTGTTACAGAGGGTATACTTTAGGGGTGCAAACTGTATTTAACCCTTTAATAAATATTTTATATTAGGTAAATTAAGAACATGCGTATATCTTAAATACTAGTTTTGAACATTTTAAACTACTGTATACCTTGAATTGCTTTAAAAAGATGATATTTAATTTAGACTTAAATAATAGATAACATAAATTCGTAATTACCAGTGTCGTACTATACCGAACTTTTGATATACCAAAATTTTTGGTAGGGCAATGATAATGGATTTTATAATAACGAACTTTCGATAATGGTAGTGATTCAAGGAGTTTGGTACGTAATCACGACACATTCTATACACTATCTAGTTAAAAAATGGCACAACAATGAAGCGATAACTGCTTTTCCGACGACGAAAACCAATGAAATATTCATACAAAATAAATACTAAATATTTTCTTCTCGGTATTAAAATATTGAAGAATTTGTAACATAGTTATAGAATATGGTCTTAAAATATATTTTTTTATTTATATGTTTTTAAATTAAATTAAGTATTACATATTTTTCAATCTTTTCCATGATTCAAATAAAAAATTAATTCTAGTTCAATTTGCATTGTATTTATTCTTAATTAGCAACGAGGTTTCTATTGATAAACATGTATCTACATGAAATAATATATCACCTGTTTTCACAACCTTCATAGCAGCACTGATTAAGGCCTCCTTGTAAGACTTATCTTCCACCTTAGCCAGAATCTTGTTAAAAACTTTCAAGTCCAATGCTCGACCAAAAACAGATTCCCGATTATTTCGCCAAATATATCACCCTACTTTTTCTATTTAAATTGATTTTCCAGCAAATTTGCAAACTCCCACAATCTTTTAGAATAAGCATACATCATTGATTTATTGATGTTACGTAAAAAATATAAAGTTAAATTAATAAATATGGCAAAATAAATTTATGGATGGAGGATTATAATCAATACATATAGCAAAACAACAAAACGAATTGAAACATCAAATTTGTTATAAATTGAAATTTAAAAAGAGAGGTGGGGGAGGTGAGAGGAAAAACACCAAAAAACAATACAAGAACAAAAAAGAAGCTTTCTAAAAGAAGTAATAAAATAAAATAATAAATAAAACCAAAAAGATCACAGCCAATGGCTTTTCGACATCTGGCAGAATCGGAGCCAATGGCTTCTCGACAGCTGGAGAAATCGGAGGCGTCGAAGCCTGTCTAAGTAGACCACCACTACCATGCAAGAAGGCACTGGTTTTTCCGGCGATTAAACCACCACTGCCTTGAGGTAGAAGCCTCTGGTTAAGAACGACTTCCCAATTATCGTCATCTGTTGTTATTACAGGCATACCAGGCATCATGCCACCTGTACCAGGCCGATTAATCTGATAGCCAGTAGGACTAATAATACCCGCTTGTGCTCCAGAAGCTAATGTTTCGACTATTCCTAGTGCTAGCGGTGGCACCGGGGCGTAATAGCCCTAAATTCTTCTCAGCGTCCGAGTGGATTTTAGTGATGGTTTTAGCTTTCACCTGGTGAAAAATCAGAATTTATTAATTATTAGGCTAATTATAAGGCTAAATTTGTGTGCTTTTTTTTTTTGGCCAAAAAAAGAAGACAAGGAATAAAAGAGATCAATCACCTCTTCGCGTCTCGGAACCCAATTATTGGCACGAGTATCGATAACATTACGGATCATAAACCGCAAGCGAGCCGCCAGCTCAGGGTGTGCCGCCAGCTCCTTCAGGCGATTGAAGTACTCGTCGTTGATGCGCTTTGCTTTTATGTTCTGGTCGAGCTGTTTACCAATGGTGTTGAAGAACTGGAATATGGCCTCGACGTTCTCCTCTGCCGGGCAACTCTTGGTATCTTGTCCTAATAGTTCCTGTTCGTACGTGTAAACAAAAAAGACAGGTCAATTATATAGCCCATAATGAAGGAGATCAATTATATATGGATAATTAAAAAAGAGAGAACCTGAACAATGTGACGAACGATTTTTTCCGGAACCATCTTCTGCTTCGAAAGCTCACCAATAAGACGGATGTTTCCGAGTGTACGGAGTTTGACTAAACGTTCTTTGTCTCTTCGTTCCTGTTCTTGCTCAGGAGCATTCATCTGCCTAACTTCTTCCCACAATTGTCCAGCGCCTTCAAATGCCTCTTGGCAGTTGTTTAAGAGAACGCGCTTAAATGTAATTAATTTTCCACCAGGTTCATCCGATGGGAATCGAGGAAGCCTCTTGTCAAGGACTGAACAGAGTTGCACATACATCGGGAAAAATGTTGGTTCCGATACAGCCTTGTCAAATATCAATGAGCCCACCTCCTACGGAGAAGAAAAAGGATAACTTAGCCTTAGGAAAAGAAAATAAAAAAAAAAACGAAAACTATTCATTTTCAATATGTACAGTACCTTCAAAATATCAGCGGAAATTATTCCAGAGTAAATCAATTGATCCTTTAGAAGATCAAAATTTTCGGGAGTCAGCTTATTCAGTATGCTGCAAAAGATCAAATAACAGTGTTCAGCGCCAATAATCATAAACAAGAAGGCCAAAACCTCCTCAAATCGAACAAGTTTTGGTTAGTGGACTTTAAACAATTTCTATCTTTACACAACCAATCACAATAGTTAACAGGCAATATATCTCGAAATGAAAAAGGAAAAAAAATGTGGATTATGTTCAATAATTTTAGCATGTAGAATATGGATTACCCCTTGACTGTTTTCAAGACGCGGTCGGTGTCAGAAAGACTTGCTCTTCGAGCGGACCATGGTACATCTGCCTTGATTAGAGAAACTGGTGCAGCCTGTTTCATAAGCAATATAAGGAATGGTATACCCTTACGAGAGATAATCAAACAAGAAGAAAGATATTAGGAGCGGTGTTCTTCGGAAGTATATTTCAATCAAAGCATTTGCAAGAATAGAAACATACAGTTGACGTAACTGATAAAACGAAAAAACATCGGTAGTTCAGTGGAAATAAAACAGATGAAATCAATACATATTTTCAGGTCAACCATCCTAAATAGGAAATGGCCCAATTAACGGTTAAGAATCACTAAAAACGTACAAATAGATAGAAATTACACGGAGACTGGAAAGCAACAACAAAAGCGATTATATTAAAGATTCAACTATATTAACTTTTCAAGCTAATTTTTTTATGCCACGGCCCACAATTGATGTTAAACACATACCATCCAGATATGAGTCATATATAAAAATCAGAAATGAAAATAGCTTTATAGGAGTAAATGTGTACAACATAAACAGATATATATATTACTGTATCCGACCGTAATATTACTGTCTCATGTAATAATATTATTGTTTGGGACAGTAATATTAGTAATATTACTATTCGAGAAAATAATATTCATAATATTATTGTACCAAACAGTAATATTACTGTCTGAGACAGTAATTTAGCAGCCAAGACAGTAATATTAATTAAAATAATTTTTTATAAAAAATATTTCAAAAAAAATCAGAAAAAAAAGTCAACGCCGGAGACCGGCAGTTGACTGGCCGGAAAAAAAAATCAGAAAAAAAAATTATTTTTTGAAAAAAAAAATTATTTTTTCAAATAATTATTAAACTTAGGAGTTAAGGTGTAATATTAAGGAATGGATGGAATTTATGATGGATTTATTTGTGAGACTGTTTGTTTTTTTCTAGACCAATGTGCATTTACGTTCCTTGTCATGTCCCTCTTTGCTATCTGCCCAAGAAAATTACACCTTATGTGGATGATAACCCAATCTTTTTTTTTTTTAATTTGAGATACAAGCCACATGAAATCTTGATTATAACCCTTCAATATATGTTCTAACCCTAACTCACGTGCCGCCGTCACCGCCTCAATATCACTTCCGACGAAATTTGAGGAAGAAGATCAGTGGTAAGCTTGTCGGCGAGTTCCCGAGCAGAGACAATGTAGCATTCTATAATATTGATTGTATTAAACATAAAAGGAAGGTACCTACTCTATGCTATCTAGCTAGCTATCACTTCCAAACTTAGCAAGTCTGCTCTTTCCCTTTCTTTTTATAGTAGACCAACCCTAATCGAAAAAAGGCTTATGTCCTCTTCTGATCTGCATACTTCTTCATTCTCTTGTGCGCTCCTTCAATAAGTCTGCTAGTTGTTAAGTAATGAATTGATTCTCTCTATCCCATTCATGCTTCTACTCAAGCTCACTAAATGGGAACCATATCCTATTTGTGGTGAAGAATAGCCATAAAGAGCTTCTAAAGGGATTCTATGAATAGCTGAATGGTAAGTGGTGTTATACCACCACTCAAGAAGAGAACTCCAAGAGCTCCAGTGTTTCGGATACTTGGATACTGACCACACATACATCTAAACTATGTTTCCAAACAATGGTTAACTCTTTCTGTTTGACCACCTGGCTGTGGACGGTAAGCAGAACTCAATTGTTGTTTGAAATGCTAGAGTTATGAAGACCACGTAACTTGTATATAGTGTCTACAAATACTTGGGCAAGAGAGGATACACAATTGGGATGGTTTAGGGCAACAAAGTGACCTTACTTTATATGTCTGTCTACAACCACCCAAATTACATCCTTTGCCCTTCAATTAGGTAGTTGAACGATGAAATCCATTTCTATGCTGGAACAAACTTGTTTTGGTATATGTAGTGGCTGCAAATGACCTAGATTTCTCAAGTTTTCATGTTTGCTTATCTGGATTTTTTTTTTTGCCTTTTTATTTTATTTGATTTGTAACAAATTTTATTAATGTTTACTATTGTAATATTACTGTAAACACAAATATTAGTGTGGTTACTATCAACCACATCAATATTAATTCTTTTTGGGTTTTATTATGTTTTTATGTGTTGAACGGTCAACATATTAATATTACTCTATTACACAATAATAGTGATTTTAGTTGTATTAATATTAGGGTGCTAGAGAGTAATATAGCAATATTACTGTGTTAAACTGTAATATAGTTAATATTATTGTGTTAAACAGTAATATAGTTAATATGACTGTCAACAACAACAATATTATTGTTTAAACAGACCAAAAATGTTGAAGAAAAAAAGTTCTCATAAAATAAAATAAAAAAGTCAATGTCGCCAGAGACCGACGTTGACCACCGGACAGCGGCGGCAGAAAGAAGAAAAAAAGAAAAAAAATCAAGAAAAGTCAACGCCGAAAACCGGCAGAAATAACAGACAGAAAAAGAGTCAACGACGGTGATGGGTAAAATTGTAGTCAAAATTGGATTATGATTCAAAATTGAATAATTGGTGAAATTTTGGGTCAAATTGGGGATCATTGAATTAAATGATGAAATTTGAGCATATTAAAAGTAAGGGGGATTTTAGTCTTTTACAAACCTCTGAACATTGTCTGGAGTTTTTTGTAAACTATTTTGTGTCCGAACATCTTTATGTTTTTTTGTGTATTTTATTTGGTTAAAATTGAAATAGAATTAAAACTAAACACAATAAAAACATTTCCAATATGTAATATGACAAATCTCTTTGGGGTATTTTGGTCTTTTCATGGCTAATCAAGGGTAAAAAGATAAATAAGTGTACTAGCTAAAAGTAAGCATAGGAGGATATTTGCTAATTATACACAAATAGTAAATGCAATTCACTCTATATATTAACAATATTATTAAATAATGTTTTTATCCTATATGCATATTTTCTATTTGTTATTATTTCTAGTTATGTATATATTTTTGTTACTACCAGTTTAAGGTAACATCTAATGGATGTTATATGGTCCGGTTGAGTTCGAAAGCCATGCATGCACGGGCAAAGGAATGAGAAAAACAAAAAAAAGAAACATTTGAATAAGCAAATCAAAGAAACGGGAATAAAACTGAAAGAAAAAAGTACTGTAATAACTATACAGGCCCGGCCCGTTCAGTTAGACAAGTTTGATGGTGACCTCATTCCGATGAAAGCCCTTGTGGCAGCCACAGACGGCGCAAGTTAGCGCGGTGGGGTATCCTTCTTTGCCGTTGGGAATGAACTCCTGGCAACCGTCCGATTTCCACTTCATATGCAAATGCGGTTTACAGCATTCTGCGTAGTATATTCCTCTTTCATTTTTTTCCTTCTCTTAATACTTTTTCTTTTCTTTACTTTTTCTTCTCTTCTTTAATTTGAAAGTTAATTTCAAGACTTTGAAGCTACTTATTGTAATCCGAGAATGACTTTTCAAATACTTGAATTTAATATTTTGAATTGAATGAGTATTGTTACCTCGTTAGTGTCACCCTGATAAATAATGGAAGAACTGATAGTTTAGGAGTAATTAAATAGAAACTTCATACACATTTAATTAATTAAATAACCTTACAACACGATTAAAAAATTATAATGTAAATTTAATATTTATAAAAAAGTTTGAGGTCATACTTTTGTTGAAACACCTCACTTAATTCATGAACCGCCTGAGTCGTTTATTATTTACAAGGGTGCAAATTTAGACCGGATGAACTGTTTTAATAGAAAAATCGAATGCCATAGATTGATTGACACGTGGATAGTTTAAATAAAAATATAATTAGGATTCTATATTTCTAATAATTGGAAAGAAAAAAAGAAAAAGAAAAAAAAAAAAAAAAAAAACCTTAGCAGAACCCGTAACCCTTTTAACCCTAATTGTAATCAGCGTTGATTTATTAAGAGTTAAACTTAAGATGTCACGTGTCAAAAAATTAATGAAATCCGATTTATATTAAATTTCGGCAGATCCGCTCAGAATTTAAACTTTATTTACAACCCTCCGTTCAACTAATTAAGAAATATATTTATGTAATCAGGGAAAATTTATTTACGTGTTTCTTTGTTTAATTATTTTTACATGATCAAGAAATTTAAATTGAAAATGCCCTTTGAAATTCCAAAAATATCAACTGATAAATAGTAGAAAAAAAAAAGCGATACATATCTAAGAACTGGAAAGTCATTATTGTACACTACATGCAAGCCGGCGGACATGGTCTACCTTAATAATTAATTTCTCTAATAATTATCACAATGGGTTCGGTGTGCAATTTGAAAAATTTCACAGGGGGTTTTTGCTAATTTATTTATCACATGGGGTTTTTTGCTATTTTAATATTACACAGGGGTATTTTTTGCAGTTTACTCAGCAGCACTGATTAAGGCCTCCTTATAAGATTTATCTTCCACCTTAGCCCAAAATCTTGTTAAAAACTTTGAAGTCCAAGGCTCGAGCCAAAAACAGATTCCCGAGTATCTCGCCAAATATGTCCGCTGTATCAATAAAAAGATCACACGGTGTAGGCGCAAAGGCACGACCGTTCCTGAGATTTTGGCGGCCATAGGCGAGATTGCAACACGATTAAAAATTGAGGCCCTTCTACAATCTCAAGTAAAACTTATTTTTTTCTAAAAATGTGATAAACTCTATATTAACTTGTTTTTGTAAAGTTTATAGCACTAAAACAAGTGAATACATATAAAAATAAATAACTAATACATTATAAATATAATGATTAGGGGTTTTTTTCCAAATAAATGCTAATATATAAAGGGTATAAAAACATTTAGAGGCCCTAAATTAAAAAAAAAAAAAAAAAAAAAAACAAAATCCAGGGGCCCTAGGCGACCGCCTACTTTGCCTCCCTCAGAACACTCTTCTGAGAACCGGGTCTACGTAGAAGATGCATCCTCTACCAATATCCTCTGCATTAACAACATTCTTGTCAAATAAGTATTCGATGAGTGAAGGGAATTGATTATGGCAAAGCGGGCGTTTCTTCATTGCAAGGGAAATGCCTTCTCGGACGAATTCAGGGTGATACTCCGGCGACTTCAGTCTTGCAACACGTTACAACGTGTCCTCCAGGACTTTATTAATAAAAAACTCATCAAGAATTGAAGTTATTTTCTCTTCATCAGCTTATTATTAGCAGAAGCACTATTGCGGTTGTTCCTGTGACACTTTATGGTGACGGCCTCCTCATTGTGTCGGACTTGTGGCTCCTCCATCGCTGCCACTACTTCAACTTGTCGGTGGAAATTCCGATGGTATCCGCAGATCTCGCATTTCAATGGCAACGCCGTGGACTCCTTGTACTCCTGGCAACCGCCAGCCCACCCCAAGTAACGAAGATAGGATTTGAAGCATTCTGCGTATTTTACAGCTTCCATGTTTCAATCTCTCTCTCTCTCTCTCTCTCTCTCTCTCTCTCTCTCTCTCTCTCTCTCTCTCTCTCTCTCTCTCTCTCTCTCTCTCTCCTAAATTCTTGCTTTTTCGGGGTGTCCTGGGTGGTCGGATTGCTAACTGAGCATTAGTTAAGTTCAACATTAGTTGACATTCCAACATTTTTCGTTTATCTTTATTTGTTTCTTTAATTTTTTTTCCGGCGACGGGTTGTTCGAGCTTCGATTAGTTGAGTTACATTAGCTGATGTCCAACTTTTTTTCTTTTAAACTTTTTTTTTCTGGCGACGGGACGTCGGAGCTCTAATTAGCTGACTATGCATTAGTTCAGTTCGAATTAGTTGACTTTGCTTTAGTTGACATCCGACCTTTTTCTTATTCTTTTAACTTTCTTTTCACGGCGGCGGGTATTCTGGGCTCCGATTAGCTGACTAAGCATTAGCTAACACCCTACTTATTTAATGCTAAAATCAGCTAATCGTAGCTCCGATGATCCGCCACCAAAGAAAAAGAAAAAGAAAAAAAAAGGTTGAATGTCGATTAATGTTGAAGTTAACGAATGCTAAATTAGTTAACCCGAGCTCAGACGACCCGCCGCCGGAGAAAAAAAAAAGAATAAAAAAGAGATGTCAACTGACGTTGAAGTTATAACAAATTCTTAGTCAGCTAACCAGAGCACCGACGACCTATCACCGGAAAAAAATGAAAAGAAACAAAAAGATCAAAGAAAAAAAAATGGAATGTCAACTAATATTGAAGTTAGCTAATGTTTATTCAGCTAACCGGGGTTCCGACGACCCAGGTCACCGCCGGAAAAAGAAAATGGGTCGTGTCAGAACGGACCAATCTGGTGGGCGGCTTAAGATGAGTTAGGTTTATCTCAAATAGAAATATGTAGGACTATTTTGGGATTCTATGTTTTTGTAAGTTTATGTGAAACGAAAGTTAAATGGTGAGTTGATTGGTAGTAAAACTTGATTCAATGGACCTAGCTAAAATTCATACTTGATTCGTAGTGAAAGGTTTATCTAATGAGCGTTGGTTTGGTTGAATTGAAAATACACCCATGCCTAAGGGTGGAAATTTGATCGAATTTTTATTTCCATCGATTCCTATGCAACTTTTTGGGATTCTTGGGAACATTTTTTTCATTCCGAAAACGAATCTGAAAATTCCTATTCCAAAATTTCCCGAATTGTTTAGTAAAAATTAGAATATATTTGAGATTCAAATTTTAATTCTTGATTTCAAAAAAAAAAAATTTAATTCTTGAAAATTATTCAAAAATGTCCTATTTTGATTTTCAAAAATTACACATAGTATTATATTACGGCAAATTTCATTTTTCCCCTTGTACATAGGGCAGGATCACTTAAGCTCCCTCTACTTTCAATTGCATCACTTTATCCCCCTTACACATGATTTTTTTCTCAATCCAGCCCCACCGTTAGTTTCAAGCATCCAACATTAACACAGTTTGGCCATTGTTAATTTTTTTTATAAGAATCATCAATCTGTCATCTTTTCTTTCTTTTTATGAATGAAAAAGAATTTAAAATATCTAAAGAGTTATATACATTATGCATAAGTGGTATCTAAAGATTTATATATGCAAGTTTAGATATTTTTGTTTTGTATTTTCTCTCTCTACTGGAAAATAAAAAAAATTACTATGTTATTTGGATTTCATAATGTTTTGAGTAGAAGAAAATGTGGGTGTTTTTGTAGTTTCATTACCGTTGACCAAACGGTGTTAAATGTTTGGAAACTAACGAATGGTCTGGATTGGGAAATTCTATAAGTACAAGGTGTAAAATGATGGTATATTTGTCTAAAAGCGATTGTCCATATCTATAGTATAACCAACGAACAGTGTTTTAGCACTTCACTTTTAACACTGCGCTCCAACAACATTGTTTATATTTTACACAATTATTATATTTAATTATTTTTTATTAAATAGTTTCTACATGATATTCAATTATTTTAAAATATTAATAAAAATGTGTATTATTATAAACATATATTTATATGTTGAATCTTTAATAATTTTTGTTTTACAAATTTATTTGACTTTTATTTTAGTTAATATACTAATAATTAATAATACTAATTAATAAGTATACAAAATTAATTTTAAATTTGATAAAATAAATTTCAATAACTTAATTGATATATATTAATAAACATTAAAATTTTATAATTCTTTATGAAATATTTTTTTTATTTAATTAAAGTGATAGTTTTTTTATAATTTTAGTTATTATTAATACTAAATAAAATAGTAATTAAATTTCATTTTTAGTACATTTATTTGAAAAAAACAAGTAAGATAATATAAAATATTTTTTAATGATAAATATATTATAAAGTACAATATATATTATTTTAATATTTCCTAGATTTGCTAAATTGTAGTTTTGGTTTCTCAAATTTGAGAAGCCAAAGTTACAATTTAGCCAATTAAAAAATTATGCATTTTCCTCTTGGAGCTCACTTTTTTGCTCTTGGTTGTTCATATGGTGTAAAATATGAGTTTGCATTACACTCTTGGTGATGCTCTTATGTGCTATATATATAAGGCAAATGACAAAAAAAACTAATGACAAAGGCACTTAATTAAAAAAAGGGACATCCAACTTTTTTGTCTTGCAAATATTTCTAGCTCATTCAAACTTATTCGCATAACAGGAAAACCCTTATATATATACCAAAATTACCCAAAATTTCTTGAAACCCAATTCAGCTCCAATTTCATGATTTACACCCCAATTTAGCACAATTTCACCAATTAACCAATTTTGACCCTAATTTCAATTTTGACCCGCCACCACCGGAGACCGCCGGTCTCCGGCGTTGACCTTTTTTTTTTTTTACCGTAGGTTAACGGCCTATGACCGCCGGGTCTCCGGCATCGACTTTTTTTTTTTAATTTTTTTTTTTCTTAAAAAAATATTTTAATTAATATTACTATCTTGGCTGTTAAATTACTGTCTCCAGCAGTTATTTAATTGTCGGAGACAATAATTTAACTGTTAATTGACTTTCTTTTTCTTTTTTCTTAAAAAAAAAATATTTTAATTAATAATATTGTTTTGGCTACTAAATTAATGTCTCCAGCAATTATTTAACTGTAGGATACAATAATTTAACTTTTAATTGAACTTTTTATTTTGCTTAAAAAAATATTTTAATTAATATTACTGTCTTGCCTACTAAGTTACTGTTTCCAACAGTAATTTAACTGTCGAAGACAATAATTTAACTGTTAATTTACCTTTTTTTTTTGAAATTTTATTTTTTCATAGTTAAAAAAAAATATTTTAATTAATATTACTGTCTTGGCTGCTAAATTAATATCTCCAACAGCAATTTAAATGACTGAGACAGTAATTTTACTGTATTGATTAATTTTATCGTCTTGGCCTGCAATTTTGCTGTCTTCGACTGTAATATTACTGTTTCTGACCGTAATATTATTGTCTCATGCAATAATATTACTGTTCGGGGAAAAATAATTTTTATAATATTACTGTTCCAAACAGTAATATTACTGTCTGAGACAGTAATTTAGCAGCCAAGATAATAATATTAATTAAAATAATTTTTTTTCAGAAAAATAAACTTTCCAAAAAAAAAAACAAAAAAAAAGTCGACGTCGGAGACCGGCGGTCAACAGTGGTTGACTGGCCGGAAAAAAAATTCAGAAAAAAAAGTCACGCCGGAGAACCGCATGGTCAACGCCTGAAAACCGCATGGTCAACGCCGGAATCTGGCCAGAAAAAAAAAATTCAGAAAAAAATTATTTTCTGAAAAAAAAATTATATTTTTTCAAAAAATTATTAAAATGGGGGTTAATTTGATATATTTGTTTAAATCCGGGTTCAATGTGTAATATTAAGTAAGTTAGAGTATAATGGATGGAGTTGATAAAAAAATATGAGAGTATTTTAGATTAAAGACATGGAGATGAGTTTATTTGAAAGATTGTTATTTTTTATGGACTACATTTAAATCCATTGTCATGTTCCTCTTTGCCATTTGCATTATATATATATATATATATATATATATATATATATATATATATATATATATATATATATATATATATATATATTTCTTTGAAGCTGCTCGAACCATTTCATCGTTTCTGGTGGGGCCCTTTCCGATTTTTCTTTCTTCATTTTCTTTTTCCTCCTTACGTGGCTTCTCTTCCTTCCTCCAACGATGATTTCACCGATGAATTCCTAATAAAACTTATTATGTGAGGATAGGCTTCCCCTCCTTCTGTCAAATCCAATACCGACTTAACTCCAACAAAATTGTCTATTTTTCTCATGTTCTTTACAATTTGCCCAATTTTGCTTCCACGAAATCCCCTGCTTCTTCACTGTAACACTGTCACCCCGTGCTCTTCTCCTTAACAAATATTCTGGATAACCGTTCCGGTCTCTATTTTTTTCCCTCCGTCTAAAAAGTTGCCGCCGTACACCGCCGTTTTCCGTTGATGCCAACGGCGTTGCTCCGCGCACCTACCTCTTCCAGCCTCAAGGCCGTCAATTAACTATTGGGTGCGCCCCTTTTCTCCCTCTAAAAATATCTCTTTTCCCGATATTTTTTTTACAGAATTTTCATTGTTAAATCCTAAATTCTTTTCCGGTATGTACTAACTCTCGTTGCTCTATGTTGGCGATACTTTTAGCGACAATACCGACTATTGTAATTATATGGTTATGTTTTTTAGACCTGGGAATGGCAGGGGTCATTTGCTTCTCGAATTTGTAATTTACTGTGTTTGTGAATTGGGTATGGACTGTCACATGTATTTGTGAAATTATTTTTAAGTTTGTGAGGACTGTGCTTGCATTTGGGCCATTGTCAACGGCATGTATTTCTCTTCTTGTTCATTTATTTACTCCTCTCGGTCTTGCAGGTGTTTTAATATATTACTATGGATTCAAGAGAAAGGAAGAGGTTGCGTGTAAATAAGCGCCGACATGATCGCTACGCCTCCACGAAGCGTGCGTGCTCGGCTGCTCAGTCCAAATCCTTTACTCTCTTCTCCTCTTGCTTCTTCTTCGTCGGCTCTGGGCGATGGTATGCTGGATTTTTAATATTTTTCCATTACTTATTTCTACTGTTTCTATTTCAAATAATAATTCTCATCCGATACTTACGTTCTGTTCAATTGTCGGAGAAGTTATTTGAGTTCTTTGGTTGTTCGTGTGATCTTTTAAGCGTTCAAAGCTCTTCTTTTACACCATTTTTTGTTTATATCTTTCATGGTTAAAAAGGTGCTGCTACTGCTTGCAGTCTACCTTCAAAGCCTGCCAATTTTTTTTAAATTACATGGTTATGCTTTTCGGACGTGGTAATTGTAGGGGTTATTTGCTTATCTATTTTATAATTTTATTGTCTTTGTGATTAGGATGTGGAGTGTTACACACAAGGATATGTATTTATTTAATACTTTCGAAGTTTGAGGGGACAGTGTATTTGTTTGGTTTTCAATAGCATGTGTGCTCCCCCTTTTTTTTTCTCCTTTTCTGTTCATTTTTTCTCTTTCCGCTGGCTCTTGCAGGTGTACCACAATAAGAAAATCTCAAATCAGTCCTATCAATTAAACTAGAAAAATTTAGGTACGAAAAAAAATTTACAGATAAAAAGACATTGACATATTAGTAAAGCAACAAGATTGATAAGAATGTAGCATCTGTAGACTTACTTGTAATTTGTGTGCATTATTTTAGGTTGGAGCAATTCAATTCTTGTAAGTTATACGCGCCACTGCATTGCATGGTTTTCTTGGTGTTCATGTTCTATATTATCTCCTCACAGATGTTCCTGATTCAGTAGAAAGGAAGAAAAGGTTACGTAGCGTGCTCACCTGTTGGCTCCACCTCCTCTGGTCCCTTCTCCTCTTGCGTCTTCTTCCTCTATTTTCGGCAACGGTTCGTTCAATTTTTTTTCCGTGTACTTGTCCATCTATTTTCATTTACAATATATTTTTATTTTTAGCTACTGAGTGCAGTGATCTTCATGTTTCAAAATGATGGTTTTTCTGCAGACAACTTGGGTTCCAATCATTTTTTCTACAATTTTCTTGATTCGTTTACTTTTTGTAAGTTCGTTTAACTCTTTCTGTTGCCCTTTTTTTGTTAACGGGTGCAATGCTATTTAAACAGCCTATTTCTCATTATTGAATATTTTTCTTTCGCTTTATACGCCGCTTTCTACTGCATTTTGTACCGTTTTGTTGTTATTTATTAAAATTTCTTTCTCATTGATTTACCTCGCTCGTAGTTTTTAATGCATTAAAATTATTGCTACTTTGATCTTCTTGAAGAACTTGGTGATGAAATTGAACAACAGTCTCATTCTGGATAGTTCAAACCAAATACAAATGAATAATGATGACCGCGGGTATAAAGCTTGAATACAGAGGTATAATTAGAATTACAGTTTCTCTTTTACTGAAGATAACAATATTATGCTAGCCTTATGTTTTCTGTATAACTATTACCTATTTTATTATGAATATAGAACTCGTTCTCTGCACAAATATTATCTATTTTGTTATGCACATAGAACGCCAATTTTAGGTGCAACCCATCATCAATCCGTTCAAAATAACCCGTTCAACTTCATATAAATGCGTTCCCAACAAAAATAATATATACTTGTGCAAATACGTGAACGGGGCACCGGCACCGCGCCTTGCGCGGTGCTTCCTATCTAGTATGTATATATATATATATATATATATATATATATATATATATATATATATATATATATATATATATATATATATATATATATATATATATATATTTTCATCTACCTACTTACACGTTTTCTTGTTCTTTAATTTTTATTTATTAATATATTCATATTTATTTTCATACGATAGCCTGAGTGTGTTTTTTCTTATATTTTTTTACTCTCCTTTTTATTTTAATTTTTATTATTTATTTTTTATCTCTTTTTATTTTTACATCCATTTATCTTCTCTATTATTAATTAATTTTTTTTATATCTAAATATATTATATATATATTTCTTCCTATCTTTTTTAATTTTATTTTTTTTTTTTATCTTC